TGGCTGTCGCTCAGGGAGACGACGGAACCGCCAAGCTCGATGACCTTGAGGGCGGCGTACTGAGCAACGTTACCGGAACCGGAGATGGCAACGCGCTTGCCCTTGAAGGACTCCTGACCGTTGGTGGCGTGAGCAATCATGTGCTCGACGTACTGTTATCGTTAGTACTGTATTCGAAGACTTGATGTTAAAGGATTGACATACGTAGACAACACCGTAACCGGTGGCCTCAGGGCGGATGAGGGAACCACCCCAGCTGCCACCCTTACCGGTGAGAACACCCTCCCACTGGTTGCGGATCTTGCGGTACTGGCCGAAGAGGAAACCGACCTCACGACCGGTGACACCAATGTCACCAGCGGGAACGTCAGTGTCGGCACCGATGTGCTTGCAGAGCTCGGTCATGAAGGAAACACAGAAGCGACGGATCTCGTTGTCGGACTTGCCCTTGGGGTCGAAGTCGGAACCACCCTTACCACCACCCATGTTCAGGCCAGTGAGAGCATTCTTGAAGATCTGCTCGAAACCAAGGAACTTAAGGATGGACAAGTTGACGGAGGGGTGGAAACGGAGACCACCCTTGTAGGGACCGAGGGCGCTGTTGAACTGGACACGGAAACCGCGGTTGACCTGGACGTTGCCGGCATCATCCTCCCAGACGACACGGAACTGGATGACACGCTCGGGGACGGAGACGACGGCGAGAGCCTTGCGGTATTCGGGGTTCTTCTGGAAGAGGGTGGAGTTCTCAAGGGTCGAGGCAAGCTCTGAAGAAGATTGATGTTAGATTTTTTTTTTTTTTTTCCTCCCTCTTTAGTTTTCGGAAAGGAGGGACAATTGAACGTACCCTTGTAGGCCTGCTCGAACTCGGGCTCGTGAGGAAGGTTAGACATTTTGAAGGGAGGATTGATTGAGAGAACTTTTAACTGGGGTATCTAGAAAACAGGAATATATAGAGAAAGATGAAAGAAAGAGAAGTAGTCTGAAGAAGAAAGAGAGAAAGGGAGAGGGAGAAAAGAAGAAGAAGATGGCGAGGGGGAAAGGCCGATTTATGTTTTCGAGGAGGGGAGGGGCGAGGGCGGGGAGAGAGTCAGAATAGAGGGAGTGGATAGTATGAGAGGGAGAACAGCCGGAGTCGGACATAAAGTCCCCCCCCCCCTCCCTCAGGCCATCCACTGTATAGTAAGTAGTCTAGGGAGTCTCCGCTGCAGGCGGGCATTTCCTGGCAACGCCCCAGACGGCAAATGATGCCGGCTTCCGGGGCGGGTTTAACGGTGGCGCCGAAGTTCGGGCTGTTAGTCGATACTTTGAGGTCACAGAATCTGTCCGTTATCTATCGGCGGGAATCCGCTGGCCCGCCCGCCAATGGCAGTTGCCCGCTCTGCCATCGGGAGGAATCGGGTGGCAACGGAAGTATTAGGGTAGGGTAGGGTAGGATTTTTTAATTGCTTTCGAAGCGAGAGAGAAAATTCTTCTCTTCATTATTATGAGCCATTGGTACAAGCCAGACAAGAATTCTTTTCCCTCGGAATCCATTAGTTTAGTTTTTTCCCTATAGTATAAGCAATACGCCGTCGCAATCTAGACTTGTTGGAATCTGGAGAGAAACTCGCATTTGCCTGCACGCCAAGAAATCCTGCAGACTGGCGGATCACCTGATTACTCCTCTCCTATTGGCCTGGTTCCCCCCGCTGCACGGGGAGGTGCTTATCAGATGTCCGGATTTCCTTTACCTACTCGTATCGTCAAATCCTCTGCACTCAGCCAATACAACCTCATCTTCCCTCTCTCTCCCCCTTCACTCTGTCTATCTATTTCCCCTCGTCACCCCCTCCCCGGAGATCATTCCTCCGAAATTAGGACACTATACATTGAATTTACACAGACACGTTGCCTTCTCTCCCCATGTTCCCCGGTGAGCCCCGACGTGGGGGAATGGGCGGCAATCACGGTGATTCCCATACTTTAAAGCGTTGTCACGGTCGGACACGGTTCACTGGGCGGTCTGATCATGCGACCACCATGGGGAGTTCACCGGTGAGCCTGAATCAGTCTAAGTAGGTTTCTCATAGGAGGGAATACAGGAATACACTTGGTTGCCAACCAGTCCAGGCGATGTCGGTGTCACATCACTGTCCCATTAGATTTAATCTTCTGCCTATAATGCTTGGAAATAGTGACTGGTAGGTAGAGAATGATTGCAGTGTCGGGAACTTCTCTTGGATGAGTTTCTTGGAATTGGAGGTCCCCGATGCATGTGAATTCCTGTAATCGAATAATTAAATCATGGGAGATTCAATCAAGAAGGGCATAAACTAATTAAACTTGTTGGAATGGTTCCTATAATTAATTATGGTTATTCAACCATTGAATTAGACTTACTTGATGCATTTACATAGTCACTAAGTAGGGTAGTAGGATAATCACTTACAAATGTGGTAGCGCCGTGTTGCCGTTGCATGTCAAAGTTTCCCGACCCAACATGGAGTGGGACCCGTTTTTGCCTATCAGTTGCCTCGCTAATCCTTGCCGTACTGCCCCGGGCCAATCAGCAATCCACACTGACAAAGCATCACGATTCACACGCCGGCTCTTGCTCTCCCCACATCCCGGAATGCTAGTTGGAAGATCGCCAAGCGGACTAATGCATCCTCCCCCAACTCTGATATACTTCGAGGGGCGCAGGTTGGTCATGATGCTTGATGGGTCATTATTCATATTGATTGGGTGGAAGTGAGAGGAAAAAGTTAATTGTGCCATCGTGGGGGCTGCGTGGGTTTGGGGGTGACTCGGTACGGGAAGGTTTAAGTGCCGGGGATGGTTCGCTGGTTGGTCTGGTTCGAATCTGGGGTGCTGTTCATGGTGTCTGGTTCAGATGAACTATTTGCTACATATGGGGTTGATGATGAAGAGATGTGACTGCTAGCAGGATTAACCTTTGATTTGTTGTCTGTGCTGTCCGTGCTGCCTGTGTATGTAATTATGTATGGGTGAATCCGATTCCTTCCGTAGTCACATTGTGCGGGAGTTGAATGCCTGACTCTTAGGGCATTCATCCATCCATCTATCAATGGGGATGATGAATCCTCGATTGTTTACTGCTTCAATTGCCTTTTGATATTAAATATTCCAGCTAAGTAGGTGTATAAAAATCTCTATTTCCTCCCACTGCTCTCTCCTCTTCTCCATCTCCATCCCCTTCAAGATCCGGACTCTATATGATATCCTCAACCACAGAACGGACTATCAGCCTATAACCCTACTTTATATACTCTTTATATTCCCTGTCTATACATGGTCCATCAACAATCCACTATAATCTTCCTATGTCGATCATGCGATCCCATTGCCTAGAGACTACGAAGACAGGCAGCCGAAGAATGGACACCCTGCCACAGTCGAGCGGGCTTGCCCTAATTTACAGACCAGGCCAAAAGAATAAATTTATACTACATACCATCCTACGCATGAAAGGTCTTGGACACCAATTTCTTCGAGGGTATAACCTCGATATGACCAAAAAACCGGTTCCCACTCGCTCATCATCCATGACCAAGTTGAACCTTGCATGTGTCAGAGGAGAGATAGCCAAATGTTCAACAGGCCCATCGGAACTATTTAGGACGAGGAAGAGGTAGAAAATTCGACATATCATATCGACCATGTCGGGTGTGTTCACTATAAAAGTACATCATACTTACTCTGGTACGTATCCCAAGGGTATACAAAGCTACAAACATATTGGTGCAATCACTAATGGGAAATCGTTCAATATAGTATATATCCTAACTCCTGAAACCGATGAAGAACTTGATCTGTGGTTGTGACTGGGATAGTGGACATACCACTGCTAAGCACACCTTCGTGAAAGGGATCATTTCCTATTCCGAACCCGGAAATCTGGGACGTGATTTAATGAGGCTGGATACAGGACCCTAAAGGGGGTCCTGATAAAGATGCACAGCCACTATCATACATAAAAGTCATCTCGACAGAAAAGGCTTAACCCTAGCCACTGAAGATCTCGATACCAATCTTCACCCGGCCGGACAACCCCGATAGCATTCGCCCGAGACATAAGGGGAAGACACTTTCGTCCCCTTCATTCGTCCAGCTTACTGGCCAGAAACATACATGTGGCCATTTGTAATATGTGGAGGCTTTCTCGGACGGAATCCAACAATTTAGGAAGCTTGTCTGGCATGTCTGAGTCCTTCACTTACTTTTCTTTCTACCAGCATTCTGGTTCTTGATGGTAATGGTAAACCAGCATCGCCTCCAAACATGCCACTCGTCTGGATTCCCATTCGATAATAGCATCATCCGGCTGGATGATGAAATACCCTGGTCAGATACTTCCTGACGTGAATATATATTTATATACAACCGCAGGCGCGTTTCAAACTATCTCAGATGATTGTTTGATGCAAACCCCAGCTGTAGAAGGCACATGTCATCATCTGAGAGATGAAAGGCCCTTCTGGAAAGCACATTGGACTAACTAATATGAGGTTCAAAACCAGGCAAGATATTGGCTACAACGTCTGTAACATCTAACAAGCATGATCCGAGACTAGATGTACGTCTTCGCAATTCCACCTCCTGAATATAATTATTCCCTGGATTTAGATGACATAGAACTACTGAGAGAGACACACCAATGCCTGCTCGAAGAACTCTCAGCTAGCCACGCGTATAAAATATATACATCGCCATGAAAGAAATATTGAAAGAGGCCATTTCAAGATGGCTTAACCATCTCAGACAAGCCAACGGTCCCCGAAGATCTCCGGCGCCTAACTGTATCAACGGCGCAAACAGATGATTTGCTTCAAGAGATCACAGGTCCTCAGCTGAGAGCCTATAAAAGATCATCAAAATTAGACAAATCAAACCGGTAGCCATTACCAACTCTATCACAATAAGGCCACTGTCTTATACCAAACAATCCAGACGTTCTGGTCGGTATCAAAGTTCGCTTCTACTAAGCGGGTAACCCGATGAGGTTAGCAAAGACATCGGATGAAACATCAGATAACCAGACATCAACATAGAGCAGTTCTGTATCAGCACATAACGTCCTGGACAAACTATTCAGCGTTGGATGACGAGAATTCGGACGAAAACCCTCGCAGTCAGACGAGGAGGGAAACGAAGTATCTCCGGCTACAGAGGGAGCGGGACGCATCCGCAGCTGAGCTGAACGCGGACGTTGGGATTGAGCGACAGTTGTCCGGTGGCAAAGATAGGCTTGAGGAACAGCCAAGAAAATCCCACCTCTCGCTCGAGAGCATTACCCTCGCCAGGTGGAAGATTCCGAGATACAGCACCGACAATGGAATAACCCGGTATGTTCCGTCGAGCTAGTACCTTGCTTTGCCCTATAAGAAGAGCATACCTTGGCTGCCCAACCACCAGAGAGCACATGGTCTGCGAGTAATCCTCTCCAATTGAGCGCTTCTCCAGAGATCGATGGGATATTCCTAGCCTTCGAGAAATTGACTTCCTGCTACATATGTGGTTGTGGTTTTTGTCGGCTACTGGAGGGGCAGAATCAATGATGAGCAAATTGTAAATATTGCTCTTGAGACAGCGACTACTCTCATAGAATGCGGCTTTGGTGGTATCAGTGGCCAACTCTCGGTCGGGCTTGCTCTCTATGGGATTTCTCAGTACAGTGACTAGATGCTATCCACTGTGTGCTTATTCTTATCACCTACAGAACAACAAGCACCACAACCATGTTCAACTCGTCCAGACAACATGTCCTAATATAACGATCCTCTCGCTCTGCTACCACTTCTGTATCGGTAAGCCCTGCAAAATTGGAATCTACATCGGTACAACTGGCACCCGCGCCGCACACGTAATCTTGATGGAGACCGACTGGTGCAGTACGAACCACAAACAGGTGTTTGGCCGGTGCCATCGGATCGGTCAGAGAGCCAAAGTCGTGTTCGCATATGTCTTCCAAAATACCCAAATCGAATGCGAGCAACTTGCCCTCGACAAGCATTTAGCACGGTTAGCACTGGGAAAGACAATAGACTCCTACAACCGAAAATGAACAATTATTCCCCCCCCCCCGGGGGGGGCCGCAGCATCAGCGAACCGCAGAATTGAGAAAGACAGATCTCATAGAAATGCCTGTGGAGAGGGCTGTACAGTGGGAAGGATTGACAAATCAACTGAACAACTTACAGGAAACTGCTGTTGAATAAAGCGAGCAAAGGAGAACCATGGAGAACTCATGACCATTACAGCCATACCTGCACAGTGGATACCTATCGCACCACCTCTTTAACCCCTATCTTCGAAGTCTGCTGCAGAAATTGCCGTATTCCGAAAGCGAAGACCCCGGGTGTCTTGTCCTCGTCGATAATTCTTCGAAACGGTTCTCCTTAAGGCCCGTGACCATCTTAATGTGGTACTCACAAGCTGAAGAGAGGGCTCATGTGTGCCCTAGACAACAGAAAGACACGCACCAAATATCGCTGACATGATTGTGTGCCTTCGACAGACGACTGCTTAGGGCTGTGCAAGATATATACCCTGAAACAAGAGCCAGAACATATCGTCTGCCATTCAAGATTGCTAGCCCTGCTGCCCATGTTGATAATACAATCCTTCTACAATACTGAATATGAGGAGGTTAAAAGCCAAACCAGTACCACCGAAGATGCCTAAGGAGGCAGAAATGAAGGACGAGTCCACCCAAGTAGGATGGACGACCGACTTGCTCCCCAAGGTGTCGACCACTACAGGCGCAATAGTAACGCAAGCCTTCGAGCCGGTTTATTCTAAGCCAGAAATGGGGAATAGCTTTTGGAAGTTTGCCACCGCAGATGGCCAGACTATTGCAGATCTGGGTAAACATGAATCATTATTCTCCCAGCATCTGGTCCAGGCTGGATCGTTTTTGCGTTGATATCAATCTACAAAAATGTTAATGTTGTATGATGCTTTGCCTCAAACATCTACAAAACGTTTGTCTTGGTTAGCAGCAAGAGAAAAAGGAATTCCTCTACAATCAAAACGCATCATCGGTTTTGTGACTGCTATGACAAATTTCAAATAGACGTGTGACATTAATCTTTCACACAATGACCGATCCTCGTTGGCCTTTTGCGCATTAGGGCTGTCTGTGTCTGCATGACCGCCATGTCTAGCTGTCATACTATCCCGCGCGATGTGGACGAGGTTGATCCCTTCTGGACAGTACAGCACATAAAAAGGGTATTATCGACCTGGATCATGCTCAACAAGACTCAAAAGACCTCAGATCCATATGCGATGGTTGACGAAAACAACGACAAATTGTCAGAAATTGCGACATGTCTCCCGTCAGTTATTATGTTAACGCTGCAGGGTCAAACCTCCAGAACTTGTGTCACAACACACACACACACATGTTTGATACCCCTACTCCACAAGCTATCCCGGATCTTGTGGCCACTTTGAATTGGGAGCTTCTCAGAGCATCACGTCCACCGATCATGGTTTCAGGCTTCCCGGCCGACTGACCATTGAAGTGGCATGAGACATGCATAATCCCACTTACCAAACTAGTATATAACGAGAACGAAGTCGAAAGGCGACCTACGCTTTTTCTCATTCATGATATTTCTCTTCCTCTTCTTCTTCTACCTCGCGATCGTCGTTTTTTTGGTGCTGCGGCATCGTATCGTTCGCTTCTTGCAGTCGTTTCATCCATTCTCCATCGTTTCTTGCGTGTTCTATCTATCGATTGACGATCCAGTGTGGTTTCGCATCTCTTTCGCTTCCTTTTCGTCGGTATTACGTGTCATACTCGTTACTTTGTCCATCATGGCGGGTAGAGGGGCTGGACAGCGCCGTCGCCGCCGCGTCAATGCGGGTGGTAGATCGCGAGCCGTGCGTGAAACGGTGATCAAGCCTCGTTGGTTGTGGTGTATGAGTTGTCTGCGAACCGCTGTGCGCAACTTTAAGCCTCAAGGAATGGAGGAGCAGGTCGCCTTTGACATCGAGTGCATCCTGGATGGGGAAGAATCGATCTTGTGCCGGCAGTGTTGCGGCCGTCGCGGCGGGTGTGAAATATCTCACTGTCGAACATCGACCATCCGTTGCTACCGGGGTTCCAGCAACACGCCCGCCAACAGGTTGCAAACCTACGTAGAGAAGCAGCAGAAATTCTGAGTCTGTTTACTCTGTGCTTGTTTCTCGTGCCCTGATATATGGTCAAGAGTTAAAAGTACTGGAGATGTGGCCGCTGATAGCAAGAATATCGCCTGGCACATCACCATGTAAAGCTCCCCTTGATTGGGCTTTCCAGATACCAGCGATCTCTATATATATGGTATCAAGCTGTACGAAGCACGGACATGTGTATTACGAACAGATTGACTATCTGAAGTCCCAGCTAACATCGTCGTTCCGCGCCATCTCTTCGAGGAACGATCAAGCAGCTGTGTCCAACCGGTTACTACTTTCCAATTATTCGGTAACTTTCTTCATCTGGGTATACCCAGTATGGGAAAGTCAACTGCTTGGCGGACGACTGAGGCATTGCCTGCGGGCCCTGTTGCTGCTAGCATTGGCAGAGCAACGACAATCTGAATAGTGCACTTTGGCTCCGTCTTCTGCTGCGGCACCTGCTCCTGCTGTCGCGGTAAGTTATCCCCTCCCGCGGGTGCACGCGCGAGGCTAATAACAAGCAGCCTCTGTTGCCTGAGGTGGGCTTCACTCCTGTTACCTCTATGCAAGGGCGAAACCGTGATTATTTCGAATGTGTTAGCCGCCCCGGTCACCAAGGGTGCTTGGGTTTGCGGACCACCCCCGTATCCCGCGGGCACTCCTAAGGCTCAGTGAGATCGTTCTATCGCGCAGCGGGTAAAGATCGCAGTCTGGGCTTCGTCCCAATTCGTGGATCTGCCTGCGGCAAGCGGGCTCGCCAGAATGTCCGCGGAGCACCCAGCCGTACTGCAGGACTTCCTCCCTGGAGAGGGCAGCAGCTCCTCTTTGGTCGAGAACGCCGCTGGATTGCGGAGCCGGTTCTACGTTCGGTGCCCTTTCCATACCCCAGTATCAGGTTATCGGGGCGTGAAAATTCCCAGACATTGGTGCCTCGCCCTACAATTTGAATCTAGCAGCCACAGCCAACTTCATCGTCGGGACAGACAAGACGTCATAAGAAGCAGTTTGAAGCTCTCTATAGTGTTCTGGGAAAGGCCGGAACAAGATGGGGGCATGTTTACTACGTTCAACCCAGAGGCCTATGCTGAGGCCGCTCCGCAAAGTCATATTCAAGCGGTGACCAAAACGGTCCATGGGCTGCGATTATACCTTTCACCCTATCTCGTTGAAGCGACTGAAGGAGGTGGTCTACTGATGGCTGGGTATGAACGTTGGCTTATTTCTTACACCCTCTCTACAATGTAGCCCTAAGCGGCTACTACCTTTGCGCTATCCGTCGGTTGTTCATCTTATACCCTTGAGCTGGTGTTCCTGTCGAGAATGTCTCGTGCAGATGATATATCTACGTTGTGCATGTCCTGCATCGGCATGTCTCTCAGGAACTGATCGGAAGACCACTCAACAAGCATCGAAGGATGTCTCAAGAACCAATCTCGTCGCTGTTGCCCCCCCCCCCCCCCCCGGCCATTGGGCATTCAGTGGAAGGCTGGACTCCAGCAGAGAAATCGAAATAGAGACATGGGGTACCACAAATATCTGCCATGCAAATGGCCTGGACTTAGACGTTCAATGCACAGAAGTGGCTGCTCGAAGTTCTTCGTGCTGTTGTCAGCCTCTCTCGTTTACATCTCTTCCTTTACATCTTGGGTCCATGTCAGCTGGAAAATGCAACCTGCGTGCTTCAGGTGCCGCGGCAGACTGGCAGCGTGTATCGTGCTCGCATTAGTTTAGCATCTATACCATCTGTCCGGGGCCCTTCGGGCAGGGCCACGTAAAGACGCGGACGATGCTCTTACGATGTGCCCTACAGCCCGCTGCAATTCTTATGCAGCAGCAACCTTGGGAGATATAACATTTTCACACGAAGCTGAAACTTCATTCTGTTCATTATATCGCTTGATGAATGCCAGAAGAAACCCTTGACCAAGCACAAACAGGCAACGAATCTATCGTGTGCCTGGTTTGGTAGATGGTATGATCAACGAGATGATAACAGGAAATCAATGCGGTATGAATATGGATATGGACATATATTGGCCGAGAGGAATCGAGATTCTGTCCAAAGATCACTGGGTTCAAGTATCTTCGTTTTGATGGTTGATCGTTCGTTCCAGGAAGGACACAGAAATAATCTGTCTCATCGGCATGACTGTGCATATGCAACCTTAATCTGGCGTCCAACAACAACTGCATTACTAGATGAAGAACCTATCCACGAAACTCACAGGTGTTCCCATATATATATCATGTTCCACTCTTCGAAATAGCACCCTCTACTTACTATATATATCTACCCCATATATGGTGTAGAGCGAAAGTCCTTCACCCACTAACAGCCCATGAAACGGCAGGCGAATGTCCTTATAACCAAAATTTGCCAGGTCCATATCTATATCCATGAAGTCATTGTGGTGGAAGCCATGCGGTCTTCAAAATCAACCTTACATTAACAGAGCGACTATATAAAAAAAATCAGGCCTGTATCAAGGAGCGACAGATACCGAAGAGAACATATGCGTTGCGGACGAACACAAAATGAAGCCAGAGGATACAACCCGCCCACAATAAAAGCTTCATCCATCTCCCAATACCTTCGTCCCGTTTCTAGGGTTTCTTCTGGCTAAGATCATCCCTACAAGATCTCCTTCGCAATGGTCTTCTCATCGTCTTCCTGGGCGAGGGCTTACCTTTCGACCACAATATTGTCGGCAATGGATATTCGTTTGAGAAGTACTGATCTGCGAGGCACCCATTAAGTGTGCCACGAATCGCACAGACTATGTACGGAATCGCAGCACTCCCCGTTAGCGACAGACACCATACTTGCTTCGCCACTAATGTATACATTAAAACTATCTGGGAAACTACTGGATCTCTGTCTATCCGGGACTAGACAAGAGTTGACAAAATCCTGGAGCAACACGCTACACTGCATATCTTCTGTGGCTCCTCGGACCACTGCCGGCTGCGCTTTTACTATACATTTAAATGGATGCATCAGTCTAGCAAGATAATGTCCAAGTGTGAGATGTGATCGTGACTGGTGATGTCCAGAGCGAACGTTTCAGGGCAGCGACTACGACAGGCCTTGGAAGGTCGCATTTGAATCTAGCAAGTCTGATAAATCAGATCTATCTGAGCGATGATGAAAATATAAGCCAGTGCACACAGCCTTAAGAATTTAGCATGGCGCGGCGCATCGCATATGGAATCTGTTTCATTCGTCTTCCAGCAGAGATCGTCCTTATGTCTTCTGGCCTGCTTGTCACAGCATGACCTAACGCAGGTCGTGCTAGTGTGCAAGTATTGGTACGAGAGGTGGGTTTCAAAAGGTATATATTCGTGTTAAAAGAGCTAAACCTACTTTGGCTGAGGAACTGAGAAAATGCGAGGAACTAGCCACATGTGCTAAAAGCTTTTCTTGGCTTTATACTCGTTTCTTGCCCTTCCTAGCACAGGATGACCTGGCACCAGTTTTTTTTGATCTTCCGAGGCTTGGTATCAGATATGGTTGAAGAAGATACGAACCCGTGCGTTGCTGCGGCTGGGGGTTAGAACTTCACACTATTCTCTGCTTTGCAAAGGAAAATCAGGCCAAGTTGGCAGCAGAGAATGGGTGTCCAGATGCCTCAAAACACATTATCGAAGGAGTCCAGAAGATATTGGCAGAAAAGACCTTCTTGCCGCTATCAGGGCACTGTGTTAAAGAGATGCTGTAGGAGAGCTGAAGACATTGGCGTTCCGCGTTCCGGTTACCCACAGTCCAACATTTTCAATGGGCGTTGGTGTTAGGGAACGTATTGTTGTCTGCTGCTTCTAATCTTAGACTAACTCTCCCCTATACCGGGGTAATGGTACCGCAAGGAGACTGGGATTTTTCATCACATCCTCCCGCGGACCATCAATGACAATAACTGCGCAGCTCGGTTGAAACAGCTACTGAAACATCTTATGGTCAGAAGTAGCATGCCCTGAGCAGTACCGATTGGCTCTAAGCGTACCACTGGACGTGACACCCCGCCTATGGTGAGAAAGGTCTATGAAGTGCCGTTTACTCCAGAGGAGCATGAGACGTACGATGCATACTGGAACAAGTAGTGAGAAATTACACTTGTTGAAAAATTCCACACTACATTAGTGTGTGAAGATTTGGCGACACCGAAAACGGTGGCTGCTAACATATAAGTCAACCAGCATGGGGCTTAATGCTGAAGCTTCACATCATTGACTTGTAATAGGGCTGGGACTGCGAGGAATGGTTTTCTCCATAAATACCCCACTGCTTACAAGGACGAAAAGCGACTGACAGTCCTGTGAAAGAGGCCATTGTACGGGTAAAATCTGCTCGAAAACATCGCAGCAACCGGAAGAGTTGCCCTAGAGAAATACTGCCACTCACATATATGACCATGCTGCAGTTAGCTGCATTTACTGATGGTGGTAACGAACCCGGCGACAATGAGTTTAGCCAGTTTATCTATGAGCGAGTTTCACTGAGCCAACGACACAGTCACTATGAACAGTCCACTTTCTCAGCATTTGAGTATAGAGCCCATCTACAGACCAGCAGCCGTGTTTGTTTCCTTGTACATGTGAACGCTACCTTGATGGCGATGGTTCAGCGGAATGGAGCGAGGTAAGCTACCGTCTTGGTATGCTACTTTGTTCATCAGTTTACCATCAAAAAATTGCGCAGGATCTGTTTCCAACACTAGATGACACAGATAGTTGTGTTGGCGAGGACTCGTTCGAGGGCTATGACGTTATTGTTTCCATGCCTCGCTTATATAGCATTGTCGAGCCCTGTTCCTATCATGCTCGCAAGCTTCGAAGCCTGGAGTGCATAATATGACGACCTTGGTTATCGGATCATCTACTCATATTGTAAGGGAGATTATAAATCTTCACACGCGAGCTATCATGGCTGTTCCACTTGACAGAAACTGGCATTACCGATCGCTTCCGTACTGCCAACAAGAATGGAGATGATCTGGACAGTCCAGCCCGCTCGATCTGCACCGTCCGTTGAAGAGCTAATAAACCGCACGGTTGCAGATACGCCCATCTCTTATCCTTGGCTCTTTGGCCGACGTCGTTCACCGGGCGAGGTGTCGAAGAACCATGATCCGGTTGGAGATTGGCTTGAGAACACCTCGCAGCAGTGCTTCGAAAACCTTTCTGTCCATGATTGCGAGCAGAAAGATGGCCCGCGTGGCACTGACGATTCGGACAATTCAGATGCATCATACTCTCCAGACAATTCGGACGATTCAGGCGCATCAGACTCTCCAGCTAATTGTCTAATCCAGTAGATACTCATGACCATTATGACTGTGCTGACCTTGAGATGGATTGAGATTACTATGTAATGAGTTTGCGCCAAGCTCTATACCAGGCCTGATAATACCCCCTGCGGATATGATACAGATCTCCTTATCTGATGTCTCTACTGACTGAGCACACCAAATTAAATACTCTCCAAAATCCGCCGGGGCACAAACTATACCTTTGTGAAAGCCTTCTTTCTTAGAAACTGGATCCCGGAGTGGGAGTTGACTGTTAATCCTAATGATTTTTATATCTGTGTAATAGTCGTGCTCCAGGGATATATAAAGTCTCGTTAATTGAATATCCCGACCTGGGAGGAATGGGTAAAATATGGGAATCAGTCCCAGCAGTTCTAGCCCCAGAATATTGAATAGTGGAAGACCGGCCACCCGCGAGCTTGACCGGACAGACATGAGTCCAGCAGAGGAGTGGCGTCAGCTAATGCAATATTTTGCGCATGATGACTGCGGCCGCCTCGTGGTTCTTATCACCACCGGGATCTATGAGTGATGTTTTGTTCTCTATGTTATGCTATCATATCAGCACACACAGAGAAAGAATAATAAAACTTTTCTTCAGGTTTCTGTTATTCAGTGCCATTGAATCCTGGTGGCCCGGATGTTTCGGAATGAGTGTTATGCGAGCTTTAATAACTTGTCGCCTATTGTCAGACAGCTACAGGCGTTAGCGGAGTGTTGGGGCCCCGCCTACTGGTTCCTGTTAGTGATATCCTGCCTGAGTTCGCCAAGGAACATGGCGGCGTTTGTGCGGCTGATTAAGACAGCGGAGTGGTGCAAGGATCTGTGCACTCGCGACTATGACGCTAAAGCCCTGATATAGATTAACAGTGTATACCAGTACACTGGGCCTGAGATCTCTGAGTTTAATGAGGTCTTATTACGCCTCGGTGTCATTTTATTGCACATCAACTTCCTCAAGCGGTTGCAGAAATCTGTTTGGTTCAGCCAGCACTGCCTTGACTTTCCTGAACTGAAAATAAAGAAAGTTAATGCTATTTACTTGTCAGATGACCAGACTCAAGAGCATGACACAGGCCCTCTATATTAATATAGTCTTTCCTGGGCTCGTCCATCTCCTGCGGGAGAATAGCTGGTAGTTAACTGATATTCCCAGCACACAGGATTACCTGGATACGGAGGGGGTCACACCAGATAATGAGGAGAGCTGGTTGGCCTGCGACATCAATGCTGTAATCGAGGGGTCTTCCCACTGGAAGAAAGTCCGGGAGATCATCGAGAACATAGACAAGGTAGAAGAAAGCGGCGCCCCCCGCAAACACAACATATATCGGTGCTCTGTCTCTGCTGATTGTTTCTATGTTCTTCAGACTGTCAATGACAACAGACATATAGACGAAACAGCTCTGGTGCTGTTTCGGCAGCCTCCCCGGCGCCCTCATCACGAGCGACAACACAGTTACCCTATGCGAACCTGGGGGAATGTCCGATCAGGCTGCGACAGGGGCAATTGATCGCGTACATATCGAAACCCAGCGCTGTCGCCGCTACATCCGCCGTCGTGTGCGTGGCTAAGGCCGCGGAAGACGGGAACGTCCCCACCAAACAGGAGGGAGGCGAAGGAGGTGAAGACAACATGGATCTAGACAGTATAGAGATTCTAATAATAATCCCCGAGACTGATCCTATATTATTAACAGATACTGATATATCTACTATGTGGGGTGAGGAATATACCTGTTTGAGTATATATAGTATTAGACAAGTATTCACCATTTTTCTGATCAGAGCTGGGATATTTCACGGGGGAAGCCTCATGCCTGCTACTGGGAAGCCAGACGTGTATCGGCCAGGACATACCACCCTGCCAGCGTCAAGTTTTGAAGAGATAGAGATACTATTCCATGATAAATATAATATTAAAGATCTGAAGTAAAGATCTTATTCACTGATATGGATAATATCCTTGATCCGTTACATAAGACAGGATAAGTTGAAAAGATTCTGTTAGATCAACTATCCCCTGTATCATCTCCTGTTTTTGTTGTATAGTAATACAACAAATCCTGTGTTATTATTGACCTGCGACACATTAATACTTGTATAATACTGAATGCATATTTATTATCATGACAAGATACCGCGCACTTGGCGGTTCCATAGTGTTTACTTCGTTAGACATTACGAAGGGATACTTCCAGTAACCAGTCAGACGCGAGGATCGTTGGAAGACATGCTACCACATTGCTCCGTGCTGGAGCAAACGGGTTCTATTTCTATGCAAATGAAGAAGAAAACGAAGGTAAAGCAGAAGGTAGTTCAATTTGTTGTTGATTGTATCACGCTAAGAGATGCTTCCTAATAACATGTAGAAGGGTAGAAGAAAAGAGAAGAGGTACTGATTACCCGATTCGGCAGGAACGCTGCATCTGGTGAGGAGGTAACGAAGAGATATCCTTCTCTCTCACGAGAACTCTGGAATGTCTCTGGATACACCCAGTGATAATAAAGACTATGCTGATGCAGAAAGGTTCAGCAGTCATCCTGGTTTGGGAAAACTACAGCCATCGAGTACTATGGAATGGAATTATATACACACATTGATAAATTGAAGTAACATACACCATACCAATAACCAGTTAACTAGATCTATGAAATACACAGTATCAATCATTATCTACTCCATCAGATTAGTAAGGAAGGCAGATCCGATACATCAGTACCGGAAGACAGTAACGTAAGTTATGTACCATTGTCAGATACAGCAGTGGGGGTAATAATACATCCGTAATCCGAGACATCTCCGGCGTTAATACCATATGGATTCTGTCTCCTCGACTCAGAGGTACATCGTCGTCGCTATATAGGAAGTATACATGAGATTCATCGTCTCATTGTCTACATATTGTAGGTATGAATATACCATAGTTTATATTTTATTGTGTATATACACTGCTTAATATAATTCATCATCATAGTACAATACCCTTCTCCAAAATCCTCCTCCACATAACCCAACCACAACATACCTCCCATAGTATCCGACAACCTACTAGTCTAGTCTAACCTAACCCAACCTACCCTAACCCACCTCCCACTCCACTTCCCATCCCCCCCGTAGTTAGTTATAGTAAGTTCCCACATCTCCCCCCTCCCACCGATGACCGAGTCCAGTCCAGTCCAAGTCCCCGCCCTTCAGCCGCGCCACAAACTACCACTCCCGGCATCCCCATCGAAAACTCCAGAAGAAGTTTATTCATTCATAGCGGCTTTCCCCCTTTCCCTACCTACCTACCCATCTACCTATTTACTCTCTGTAACTAATTAACTAGCTCACGCTCAGTCCTGTTTCATACTAGTTGGGTTTCGGGATTTGAAGCCTCTTACATACATACGTACATATATAGCACAGGTAGCATACATATGAGTTTTTTAATATATGCGTTGTGTTATAAGGAGTAAGAGTCTTTGTTTGTAGGCAACCAAGCTGAATTAACATAATACACCTCGGTAGTTTAGTTAGGTAGTATGTGGTTAGTAAAATAAGAAAAAGAGAAAGACTTGGCTCAGCCAGCCATCACACCACATCAACCCCATTCCCAATGAAAATATGACGGTAAGTTCACACACCGGTGGGGTTTTTCCCACGGTCGATAAGTTCAAATGTGGAGATGAAGGTTGGAAGGATGGATGGTGGTTGAAGCGGGTATATCGGATCGAAAATGGAGGGAAGCCCTACCTTCCTTACTGGGCGAAATATTTGTTGTCTCCCTCGCATCGTGGTACATACTAATCTTGGTACGACCGTTGATTGAACTTGCTTGGTAAGCCATCCATCATTAAACGGAAATGGATAATTGATCTGGTTAAGTATTTGCAGGTAGAGATGTAGCCGTACCATATCGGGAGTTCCGCTGGATAGATAGACTAGATAGTTACTGTGATAGGTAGTGAGGAACCGGTGGGGCGGGTCTCGGTCGGGTTCATCGGCAATCGTGGATATAACTATAACAAAAATGTATACACGGAGTAGTTACTTCGTATGTGAGTATAGGGATAGTTCGGATGTAGGTGACTATCTATCTATGTTCTACAGGAGAGGATGATGATGATCTCCGGGCTAATGTCGCGGTCCGTCGGATGGCGTTGGTGTCAGGGGTGGCGCCGTTTCAGGCATCAGAAGTTCGAAAAAAGGGCTCGGCTTCGTGGAGGCCTGACCGGACTGGCGCGCTAGTTTACTTACTTTACTTACTTAGCCTAGTAGACTTGACTAAGGTGAACTGCGTACTATCTATCGTCATGACTATCGGAGCTGCTACCCGACGCGCGCAGGGGTTAGGGGTGACGGTGGGACTGTCAGGTACCCTACTTACTCTACCTGAAGCGGGTTTTCCTTGTTGGATAGCGCGTTCATGGGCTGAATAGGGGCTAGGAAGGGATGAATGTTTGATTGATTGATTGATTGATTTGTTTCACTGGTTATTTTCGGATGATTTATCTCAATTGTTGTTCTGTGGTATCTTTGACCCCTTGCGAGGTGTTCGCACGGCTCCCTCAATAATTGAAGCCAGAACACCATTATGTGGGACCCGCGATGTCTATCGCGCTCATGATTCAAGATATCGTATGATCGTTATCTCATGCTATGAGACTCACCAACTCCGTGCTACCGCCAGCGTGGCTAGTGTTGGGTTAAAGCAGTGTAAATGGCACAGAAAAGCAGATAGCAAAAGTATGCAGAAAAGAAGAAAGGAAAAGAGCCAGAAAGAAGCCCCAGCACCCTATAATAAAGAATTACCCTCGTGAGCTGTGATGTCGTGAAATTTGTGAGGATGAGTCTCGAAGAACGTCAGGCGCTCGAGGCCCTACCATCCAGTCTTCCATGGCGAGCCATTCGCTCCAACTCCGCTCCGCCGCCTCAATCTCCGAATCTAGCGGCCCCTGTAAGGGACGTAGGAACGGAATTGTTTCGAGCGGTGGCATGTCATAGTCCTTTTTAACGGCCGCCCAGCCACCACTCTTCGCGGCGAACAGGTAATTGCGCCGTTCCTGCTCGTGTAGAGGTCCAATGCCCGCACCCCATTCGTCCCCGAAAAACCCATGCAAAACGCCAGGGAAATCCATTCCCGTGGCCACCAGGCGGCGGATGTATGGAATCAATGAGACAGAGGGAGGTAGATTCGAGGCAGGTGAGGATGTAGATGACTGGCTAGCGGCGGATCGGGATGGATCGGCATGAGAGTTTACGACAGGATTCGATTGCCATTGGAACGGGAGACGGATGTTCAAGAAAGCAGAGAGCGCTTGGACTGCATCACTGTGTTGCGCATGATCTAGAAAGTATCGCTGGCAGCTTTGGTATCGAGGGTGCCATTGGAAGATGTCAAAGTTGTCGCCTGCAGACGCTTGGGCCAGTCCCACCATCGCAGCCGAGTTGAATTGCTGGAAGTCATGCATTGGGGATCCGGACGAAGGTTTACTCGAGTTTCGAGGATTCCTGCGCAAAAAAAAAGAGACTTAGTCACTTGCTTCCACAACCGTTTGTCTTTGCTCGTAGCCCTCTTTCACCATTGTCCAACGGAGCGATTGAAACCGGAGACGAAGGTAACGGTGAAATGGACAACCCCGTAGTAAGAATATGGGGCATAAATCGCGAGAATTATGGAACCCAAGTGACTGAAAAGTCAATGAGACCGTACCTGCTTGAAAATATACTCCGACCACGACGGAGGAGAGAGACTCGGTGTCGCGGGGTAGGAGTCGGGGAGGGCGATGGGGAGGAGCGAAACAGAGTCCTAATCGCGAAACCTAGTCCTCTACCCGAGTGAGATTCATTCATGGACATCTGCTAAGCGTGATCCATTTATGAGGGGAAACAGGCGCAGCTCATGACAGAGCATGGGTCGAGGCCAAGGAGGGGAAGGAGAGAGCGAGTGGATGAGGTAGTTGGAGGGGACAAGGCTTTATAGAAAGAGAGTCCATTGAAGAGATGAAACGGGGGGTATGCGACATACATAAATCCTCGGACCCAAAGAAAGGAAGAGGCAGTGAATTGAGAATGGAACGGCCGAAGGAGAAAAAAGTGTCAGATTGCGGAGCAGCGCTGGCAAGTGGACGTAAGTAGTCTTGTATATTGTTTGGGACCTGACGAGCGACTAGAACCAGAACGGGTGTACCCGATAGGGTCACGTAGGCAGTACCGGTCAACTTCTCGGTTTGGGTTGGGCTGGACTGGTTGATGAGAAAAAAGAGGGTTGTGGTTTTCTCGAGAATCTGTATCATATAAATAAGAAGGTTCTGATACTTTCTTTTTTATTTTTATCTTTCTTTTTTGGCATTAAATATTTTCTTTCATAATATTTTTTTGTCTTTCTTTTTTTCGATCAATTTTAATTCGGGTTGATGGGAATTTTTTAGGCCACAGCCAATAATGATTTTTTAGTGAGCAGCAAGCAATAAATCCCAGTGCTAAACCCTCCACCCCCAAACTAGGCAGTGGTCCGTTGAGAACAGGGCAACACTGGTTTAGTTCTGAGCGGAATCTTACCCGTGGTAATCCATCAAACCGCATACCCGATCACAATTATGAAGAAAGTTTAAGAATATAAAAAGAAGAAAAAGAGGGAAGCAAACAGCCATGGTAAAACAAAATATATAATATAGATAAAAATTAAGATGAGAAAATATATCAATAAGAGAATAAATTATATTACCTTTGTTACATACATCAAAAATGGCAAGACTGATAAATTTCATAATTCGTTTTTTTTTTCCCCTGCCCAAAAATAAGAAAGGCAAAACCAGGTACGGCCATCAGAACCCGGGAAAGGGAGGGCAGACTAGTGTAGGGAAAGGGTGTGTGGTGGTGCCCCGTACCTTAGCAGCTCCGCCCTTAGCGGATGGCAAAAAGCGCTGGTCATCGCGTGTCCTTTTGGGCTGGTGGACCCGGAAAAATGCTGATAGGTCCGTCGCTCAGATCGAAAGATATCCGTGCAGCTGCACAAAGTCTCAAGTACTTACGTTTCTCGACTTCTTAGCAGTGGTGGTAGTGAGATTAATAGCATCCCTTAATCGGTGCCTTCGACAGCGGTCAGATCTTGAGCTGCATTGCCTTCTGAAACTGCACCTGGCTCAGTTGGGTAAGCTGTGGGATGCCGGCGACATCCTTCACATGCGGTAGGG